GCAGTACGACTTCGCCCTCAGACCTTGAGTTGCTGCTTTTAGTCTTACCGTTCTCCAATCGACCTGCCTGGCATGGCAGAACCTGCAGGAACATGTGTTCCAGCCAATATAGCTCGGTTGGGTCATCACGATACGCAAGCCCGACCACCACGTCAAGGTAGCAGCTACAAGCAGTTGGAATCCTTCGGCACATCAAAGCGTGTAGGTACGTATGAGTAAGAAACATATTCCCGGTTATGTTTGGTCCTCTAAAACTCGATTAGGAGTAACAGGCGTAAGTAAGTAAGTAATGAAGTTATTATTAAGTTGGAGTATAGTACTGAGAAAAAGTAATAATGAAATAAAGATTCGAAAAATAAAGCTCATTGAAAACGTTGTCTGTTTTGAAATTCTCTAAATAGGTTGAAATTGTAAATTAATTTTCTTTGTAAACTATTATCAACTAAGAAATTGTTGAGAGTACAGTTTATATAGTTACGAAGGAAGTTTTTGTACATGGACACTGAATTAAAAAAGGATAGGGAATGAGATTATTAGACCTTTCCGAAACATTCATAGACTGTTATATTCAATACTTGAATTCTTTTGATTAATTTGATTAAACTATACAACAACAATTCATTTATCAGACAATTTTGTACTTACTTACGCCTGTTACTCCTCGTGAAGGAGCATAGGCCGCTCACCAGCATTCTCCATCCAACCTCTGTCATGGGCAATCCTTTTCAGCTCTTTTCAGTTGTTATTCATCCTTTTCATCATATCTGCTTCTGTTTCCTAACGTAATGTGTTCTTTGGCCTTCCAGTTTTCTGCTTCCCTTCAGGATTCCATGTTAGGGTTTGCTTGTACTAGATGGATGAAAAATAACATTTGATGATACATAATAAATTTGTTTAATAAAGCAATACTTTTCCATATTACCATAGATAGTCCTATGTAAAATTGACTTATTCATGAAATTGTATAACTTAAGAGAATAACATTGTTATGAAATGAAAATTTCTTCAATGAAAGGTCTTCTTTCTTTTGTGTTTATTACATAATTCAATCGATATGTTTCATTATTAACATTTAATTATTAGTATACATCATAAATATATTGATATGGAACTATGATAAGTAACTCGTTGAATAGTAATATTTTTTTAAAACTGTATTTCTTATCATATTTGAATATGAGTTTTCATTTTGATTTATTTAATATTGATTATTAAATGATCGAATAAGTAATGCATCTATTTAGTACTAATGTATTATTAATAATTATTTGAGAGACTGATATCACGTATACTTTCAATCTCTGATGGCTTTTTTTTGTGATTGATAGCCTTGATAGATTTGATCGTCATCATTTTTCCCCAGATTCATGTTCAGTATCTTTTTCGGATGCCTTCTGATTATTATCGACTGACCACTTCTGTATAGGTTGTATATTGGATGTGTATCAGTGTGTATATTGATTGCTAATTGATCTAAATACCATATTTCTAGAAATTCTATGGTACCTATACAGCTTACTGAACCCATAATTTTGATGTTTCCTCAATGGAATTTACATCCATGGTGATTCGAGCGCAATGATATCAGTGATAGCATATAATTTTGCCTCACTTCTAATCTATGTTGATGAATGAGTAGGTCGGATTGGGATGTTCATTTTGTCCAATATAATATTTTTCATCGTTGATGCAATTTATTCTATAAATAGTATCGGATTTGTCTTCTTTTTCTGATATATCTTACATTTTGCTTAGAATGAAATGACTGTATTGATTCTTGAGTGACAGTGACCCTAAAGGATTTCAAATTCCTTCCAATAGTTTCTGACACACATATATTTCTGGTGTATGCATATGTATTCTTTCTCATTGAAACTTATGTAATATATATTGAACAATAGTAATATCGAGCAAGTTCAGGTCATATAGATGAACAGTAATTTAAAAAAACTAGTCGAATTATTCTATTTTTGTACAATATGTCCAAGTCACGTTTTCTTTTTCGGAATAATAAACAGAAGAGAAAAAAATCCAGTTTACATAATTATTATAACAGTAATGATGTTAATGTAATTGAAACAACTGATTATCGTAAGATTTCATGATATTTACAATTTATTAAAGATTAAATAGTTTCTAGGTTTATACAAATAGGTTTTGATCAAGGATAACTAAATATTACTTTGTAATTATCTTTATCACGTAATAGTAAGGATCATAATATTATTGTGTAATATTAATGATAAGTAAGGGATTAAGATAAATGACGAATACATCAGAAAGAAAACTACAATGTATGATTTGTCAGAAAAAAAACCTGTTTACTGAATTATCTTTCTGTGAATGGATGTTTTGTGTTTATTTAACGGCTGTAAGTACAAAACATGAACCTAATAGGTTTTAACATTATTCTGTTGGATTAACTGCGACAGTTATCTCAACTGGTGAATTAAGGAATTATGAATATCTCATAAATCTCTACGTAGAATTCATATTTACTTGAGTATCATACAAGGAACAGTATTGTTTCCACCCGTACAAGCACTTAAAAACATAACACGACCTCTTGTATTGTATGAATAATCACTGAATAAATATTAATTATCTAATGAGTGTTAACAGAAGTACTGGAAAACTACATAAATCCATTTATTCGAATCTTTGTGAAAGACCCATATTCATAAGCGCCACCGTAGATTTCCAAACGATCCTAAAAAATTTATATCCAAAAGTTCATTAGTATCTTTACAGACTTAACATCTGAGGGCACGAAATTCTGCCTTGTGAACCATACAATCAATCATCTCATCAAATTTAAAATTTCAAAAATTTAGTCAATCAGAGTAAAGAGCTAACTTTAGTTTCTATCCTGAAAATTTAGCGTCCCAAAACCATTCTTTTTGATTGATAAAATTCATATCATGAAACAACCTCAATGGTTCGATATCTAATAATATGAGAACATAGAAACACAACCCAAACTGTTTGGAAGTGCTTGGAGACTATTAAGAGCAAGTCTCAAGGCAATATTTTTGATGAACTGAAAGATTGACATCGAAAAATGAGTCCTACTAAGAAGCTCCCTCAAGTTGTCGACGAGATAAGAATGAATTGATCGAAAAATAACTTACTGAGGTTTTTAAGATAATAAAAAGATCATCTGGTTGGCGAACGAAATGAACTAGCTAGTACCACAATATCATAACGGCAGTGGACTTACAAGAAGTTCAATAACAGAACGCGAATCATTCTACTAGAATAGACTAACAGTCATTTACAAAGTAACTAGTACTCTGTCAAGGGTAGTGTGATTTCATCATCTTGGCATAGTTTATCCAAAGTGCAAAAATATGAGCTATTTCTTGACCCACTTATTTACATGCCTGCATCCTCCTACCACTCGACGGTAAAATAGTTGATTTTCTATAGTTCGTAATAAGGTATATATTCATGTATTCGCAGCAAGACACCTTCCAATTCGTTGGTACTAAAGATGGAGAGAATGTATATAATAAATTTGCGGCTTCATTTGACCTTGAATAGCTCCTTACTACTTATCGAGATCATTACTTTTATTTGCAAACACATAAATGATAACAATGGTAATATCAATATTTTATTTAAATGGATTACTATTGAGATGCACTCGATTGATAATCAGTGATATTATTTACAGAAAGAAGGATAAAATAGCCAGGAGATACTTCTTTATAATAATAACAATCCCTATTGACGTCCATATTTGCAGATTGTTTTATTGTTAGTTAAAAGGTATCTTATCAAACATTTTCATTTGTATAACCCGTATGTAGATGATTCTTTTATTATTTGTGATAATAAGAATGAGTTGAATTATATTATGACAAAAAATTGTATTATTTGAATGTTACAATAACAAGGAAATCCGATAACATTAAAAAGAAAACTAGGTTACAGGAACGCTTTAATGAATGACTAGCTTTTATATTTGAGTTCATATAGAAATAGAAGTTTATATCATTTATCACATAAATCCAAAGAAATTCCGGTACGAATATTAACCTTTTTTGTTGAGAAAACCACATCTCGAAAATAGGTATCCCAAAGATGTGTCGATATCAGATACAAAACTCAAACATCCAATTAAATAATTAATCTATGTCAAAAGTATATATTATGCAGAGAAGAATTTTAAACCTTATCAAAAAAGGCTTCATTACGTTAACTTTGGAGTTAGAGTTCCATGTAATCTACTTATATTTACCAATAACCTACAGGATAACCTCATGAATATGACCGATTCAGTGTGCATTTATCAAATCTTTTGTTCTTATGAAGCTAGGAATATGAAGTGAATATAGACCAGTTATACCGGTTGATCACTTAATATTGACTGATTTCATGTTGTCGAGTTCTTAATGATAATCAATTTCTATAAATCAATTTATAATATAGTCATCAGTTAAAGTGATTCGGTATTGTATTGCACTTTGTTTAATGTTAGGTAGTCAGCAAAAAATCCTATATGAAGAAGTAGTGTAAGCATCTGAATCATACAAGACAAAAGTCATGAAACAAGTAGTCCATTTTAAATCCTACAAGGATTATCAATACTTGAAAGATTTTAGATAAACCTTTCTGATACAGGCGTCAATCTATCATGAAATTTAGGTTCTTGTTGATCATATTAAACAATTTGATATCAGTTAAAAATACAAAATGAATCCACTTGGTATTGTTTGGCTTGTATCTTCCTATTGAGTTTTTAAGACTGCAATTGATCAGTCTGGTATATGTACATACTGTGCGTATGCCTCAATATTGACTTAATTCACAAGCTTTTTGTAAGCACGGATGGATAGTGGCTACCTGTGGAATCCAGGACGCGCGTTTCGTCCTATTTTGGACTCGTCAGCCGGATGTACCTGCAGCTCAGAGTTGATGTCCACTTTGGGATGCAGGTACATCCGGCTGATGAGTCCGAAATAGGACGAAACGCGCGTCCTGGATTCCACTGGTAGCCACTATCCATCATTGCTTACAAAAACAAAATGAATCAACTGAATTATTTTAACCTGAATAATCAAAATAGAATGTTATTCACAACAACAAAAAGGTTAGTCCTTGTGAAAAGATAAATAATGAACAAAGTAAAAAAAAAAGTATCCTTTCCAGTCTTCAGAAAGAAATCTGAAATACTTTCAAACTGTAATAATGTAAAATTCATAGATATTTGTATTCCCTTATACTTCAACGATGAATTATTTAAAGACTACTACTTATATCTGTTAGCATAAGTAGCATACACCACAATATTATGAAAAGATATAATTTGATGTTGATTAAATCTTATGTATATTTGAAATTTTATAAAACAATTAACATAGTTCCCTTTTAATGTTTATATATTTTTAATTGGATAAAGATGTAATTCATTTGATTTATTATTCAATAATAATGAAGTACTTTGTACAATATTCTTAATGGTCTTCTTAAACATTAACAATTTGTTCTTTAAACATTTTGATAAGTTGCTCTCCTAAAACTTCATTCTAAAAATAAAACAAAATTTGTTTAATTAAAAATTGAGCAGTAGAATTTCTATTTTTTTTGAAAATAAGTCTATACAGTAGGAAAAGATTGAGTTCAAGATTGTGGTTGGAGGTAGTCAACAGGAAACCCTGAATCCGGGTTTCGTGCTACTTGGCACTCATCAGAGAGGTGTATCTGTAATTTCGAGGAAACTGGTGCTCCCTGACGGATTTTTACCCCTTTTCGATAGCATTCGATCTGCATTAAGAAGGACTTGACACACATGACATTGATCACCACCCATTGGTCAATTAATTGTGATCGAGTTCAATGCTTTACCCATTATGAAAAGGTATGTATGAATGAATTAGGATAATAATATAACTAGAATTTTGTATGTAATGATTTTACTTAACTCCAGTCATTTGTAAGAAACAGAATTTGACACATATATACATCAGTCTAATTTGTTTCATTATTTCAGTACAATGAGATCAAATTATCAAAATAAGTAGAAGTGGTATATATATATAAGCAGGCAAAGAGAATATATTTCGAAAAGAATGAATTCGTTGAATAAGAGATATAAAATAATTTTAAAATAAAATTCCTAATGAAAGACAAAAAGTGAAAATATCTACACCATTGTATCTGATTTTGACCCATTGGATCTAACGTGTTCAACTGTTGTTACAATAATTGTACACACCTTAACTAGCTACTATGCGTCTACTTACATGGCTCAGTGCAACAGTTAATGACATGACATGATTTGGTTCTCGTTAGCTTTTTTCCAATCTATTCCGATATTGTGAATCAAGGTACGTGGAGGTCTGGGATACATAAAACATGCCCCAACCACTTCATTTGATGAAAATTCGCAATTTTTGGATAGTACCCCAAGTCTGACTTAAAGATAGCTCAACTTGGTAGTCTTAACCTACGGTGATAATACCTCGAAGGGACCTGTGACCAGATAATAATAATAATAGTTATTATTATTATAGCCCATGGATTTCTTTTCCAAGTTCTTGTAAGTAATTATTTTCACATCACCAAGTCGATATCAATAACACTGACAAATTTAGTGAAATTACATATATTGGACTCACCAATAAGGAATCATCACTTTAATGAATAGACAGTAAATAATATAGCACTTAATCATTTGCCACAGATGAAAGTTTAATTAATTGGTAGGTAAAGGATGTGATTTTCGACAATTCATTTGTTTCATATTAAAAAGTTTTTAAGTGCAACAAGACGCTTGCTCATTACTATCTAGTTTTCAATGGTTCTGATGTCAATCGATGATTGAGGTAGTAATAATCAAGCAGAACAAACCTATACAGATCAATATTAGTTGTTACAAAAAAAGATATCTTCACTATCTATTGAAACATAGGCTAGAAACACGTTACGACAATAGTTTATGTACAGTTTCCTGCCATGTTTGGACAATGGAGTTTAATATTTTAGTGAACATATTAATAAAGTTAAATGACCAAGCAAAATTTACCTGTAAATTATAGGTTACATGACATACGAATTCCTTTGATTGTAGGTTAGCTGTACGACGTAGAGCTGTTGATCTTTCACGAGTTTCATCATCGAATTCATTCAACATAGGATCACAAACTGACACAACCACTGAATCGTTGAATAGAATTTGGTTACGCACTAATTTTGGTGGATCGATGGGTAATCTATAGATGGGAACATATATAATGTGTAGAATATTTTCACTGTTTATTAATACTATTCAGAAAACAATGATAAAATAAAGAGTATGCTTACATAGAGTCTGTTTGTCTATAATCGCTTAGTTTTAAAAAAATATCCTCATAATTAGGCGATTAAAGTAAAAAAGTAGCAAATATTTATTGTATGCAAAACAGATTTGCAGGTGAGGGTCCCTAAGTCTAACCGGTATAGTTTTTAAGAACATAACAATTAAAATATGGAATACAAGAAAAGGAATTTGGGTGATCTGCCAAAAACAACCCCATTTTGGAATTTTTGGACTCGAAGATAAATCTATACTACAATATCCAGAAACATTAAAACTTTAAAAGTAACTATATGATTACGAATCATTCAATTTTAAAGCTACTGATGTTGTTGGCTAATTTTTTATTTGCCGACTGAATGAATGTCATCAGCAAGGTTTTGACTATGTTTTTGGATGGTGGCTAGCTGTGGAATTCAGGATGCTTATTATGCCTTGTATCGATTTACTTGCAACACCGTACCGATGTTTTCTCTGAAGCGATAATCCGTAAGTTATTTCTTCAAACACTAGAGCAATATTTATTAGGGTAATGGGTCATGATCGCCAAAAGTTGTTCGACTTTTAAATGTAGCTAGTAGTGAAGAATATGATCCAAGAGCACAAACGCCAAAAAGATAGATCAGTTTAGTCCCTGGATGTTGGCAACTCGAACATACTAACCCATACGATTAATTATATTAAGTGATTTTTTAAGCTATAGCTTACATATTAGCTCAATGCGTTCAAAAAGACTTGCATTTTGTCGGGATATCTGCCTAATGGGACGACGTTGCATGTATATCCTACTTTGATCATAAGACCTACAACACAGAAGATTAGACGTACATAGTAAGCTCTATTACAATATGTTGAATAAGGTAGAAAGTATGAGGGAGTTTGTACGTCTAATCTGATTCCAAAAGTTAATTTGGCGTGATTATCACTTAGTTAGATACTGGAGCAATTATTCTACATAACTTCGCATATATAACCAACTAATTAGAACATAATAGCTATGGTGATTACTAATGTGTTAAAATGGAAATTGCAATATGAAACGTATAATATATTTTAAGCAATCTAAACAGTATACCAAAACAATAAATAAGATGAAAACATAGTGAATGAATCATAAAATATTGAATATGTACATGAACAATCCGAACTATTTGATAGTGAAGTAGATCAACAAACATAAATACAAACGTGTACGCCTTATATATGAAAAAAAACGCTCATGCTTAAAAGCTCATAATTAGTCGTACAACAATAAGTGTAAACAAAAATGATTAATGTGACTAGAATGACGCATTTATTTTTGCACAAGAACAAACCTAGATGGACGTGAAGCTAATACAAATACAATAAGTCTTCAGCATTAATCTGATTTTTCCAGTGAACGAAAACAAGTACGTTGATAGAAATACAGGTTAATTGATGACTATCAACCTATTCCTAATGAAAATTAGACGGTCATCACCAACACACGCGAAATTCATATCGCTTGCGATCGTAACAAGGTACCGAGCTCAAGTTCTTGTGTGAACATTAGTACTAGAATGCAGGTATATCAAAACGATGAACTCTAACAAGGATAAAATACGTGTTCCCTGCTAGTCACTAACCAAATTTACTAATAAACTTGACTAAAATGGAATGAAATTTTTTTTGGGATAAAAACTATATTACAAAGAATAACACCAAAATACGTCAACAACTTCAGGGGAATTAATAATATGAACAAATAATTAAATAGATTCTAATCTTTATAAAAAGTAAGAAACTTCACTTTTACCTGCTTACTTTTAATGAAAGCAATAAATTTTAATATGAATACAGACATTTGAGTCGTTGAAGAATAAAATGAACACAAAAAATTTATCAAACTGATTTTCACCTAATAATTTAATTTTTGAACATGTTTAATCAATAAAACAAAACAAAACAAATAAACATGAGTAATTTGATGAGGTGATGAATGAAGTTTACTTCTGTATGAACAATACATTCATCGGAAAAAATACATCGATGAAACGAACTATTCAGTTAGGAAAAGGTGATATATATATATATATATATATATATATATATATATATATATATATTGACATTTAATAATTGTATTTAACAAAATACAATAAACAAAGTGTAATGGACAATTTAAACAAGAATATATTTATTACCATTGAAAAAATACATTAATTTATTCAATTAGAAACATAATTCATGAACTATATAGAAATACAATGAAATAATTGAATTTATCAATGAGTAAATAGAACTAAATAGTTTATTATAGTCTGATTATAAAATGGGTGAGTATACTGTAAAACAAAACAGTTCTTTTTAAATTGTTTCACAACTTTGAAATGATATCTTTAAAACTAGAGGAAATAACTAGGTTGTTAGTACTAGATCAAAGATATTTTTGAAGTATTGCTTCGCATGTGGTTGAATAGCAGAGTTAGATGTAAGGTAAAAGAAAAGTATAGTAAATTGGTTAATGAGGTTACGTGCTCCAAAATGCCTTGGTACGGCCGAGAATGGGTAGGGTCCGCCCTTCCTCTCGAAATGCTCTCACATGGCCACGTGGATACAGCCTCTGCCAAGGAAGTCCTACTCACTGCCTTTTCGCATCACAGGTATCGTTTACGAAATTGAATGTCTGGCGCTTTAACCGGGCCAGTGGACATGGTGAGTCCACCTAGGGGATCTGGAAAACCCTGATTCCAAACAAATGGCGCACATGGGATCCAGTATCCTGAAGGAACAAATGGCGTATAAACCAATTGTTGGGCACCGGCTACCATGGCATTACATCTCCTCACGATGCTCCACGGCTTTGTGGATCAGACCTTTAGGTCAAAGGTTCGGGGTATGGCCTTCTAAGAAAACCACGTGATTCGGTCTGAACATCCGGGCAGTATTACAGCCCACACACAAATAAAATGGAATGACGATATTCACTGAAAATACTATTCACGCTTCGATTGAAAGTCAAGCAATCCACATTATTATTATTATTACTTACCACGTCACTTTTGTGTCGCGCATATATATCTGGTGCCCATATTTATGTGTTAAAATAAATAAAGAGGTCAAGACATTTCGAAGACTGAGGTGACAGAGATATGTATTACGTATTCCGAACCATTACCTATCTCGATAAATAATACTGAGTGACGTAGGTTGTAAGATGGCGACGACCAAGCCATTATTTGAGTAATTGAAATCCTTATAAAAAAGAGTGTACCTATCGTATCTAAAGCTATGAGAAATAATTTTTAAAGCATATTTTCTAATGCAAAATCGTCAACAGTCGACTTCGCTTCTTACCTAAGAAATATACACCACGTTTTTGGTTACACAACTACATGGATTTTTAGGAAAATATTTGTTTGATTAATAAGAGTGAAGTATCATTTTGTTAATAGCGTTCAAACATTACTGGCATTACACACCTAAAATCTATGGTTTTTACACTAACATTAACAGAGCATCGATCTCATTTTTCATTTGACCCTATTTTGATTTATAGTTGTAGTGAAGCAAATTTTTGGATATGTTGGAACCGTTTGAAATATTACCATTTTGGATATTTGGATCATTAAGTAACCAATTTATGGCACTTTTCTATACAGTCCTATTTATGAGCTTCCGTTTATTGTATAAAATTTCCGCATAAGCTTCACTACTTCCGAATTATTGTTTGCTAGCTATTCACCTGTCTCGTTCTCTTTTGGATAGATTGTGGATGTGAAAGACCTGGTAACCCGAGTATATAAATAAACGAGTATTTTAAATTTAATAGATCATTATCAGCTTTCTGCGTTCTTACTTCGGAATGACTACTGGACTGGAGGAAGGTGTACGTTCTGGACCAATAGGCGTTAACACTTATGTAGATCACTAATCCGGATCAACTATTGTTGACCGAAGTGTATCAAACCTAAGGACATTGGTACATAGGAAGAAAGCACGCTAGGATTAGTGAGTCATAACACTAATCCGTATTGGGGCAATTGTATCCATTGTCTCAAGTAAGAAGACATGGAGAATAAAAAAGGAAAAAAACAAAGTAAACTATTGATCGTTGTTGTGCAAAGTGGCATCGTGGTAACTAAATACACCTCAAAGTATTCATCTATGAAATACTTTTAATGCGAAGATTGTAGTTATATTTAAGATTTGGGTCTGAACTCAGTTATTGACAGTTCGATTTTTTAACCCTTTAGGCTCTCTTTTCACACCGCAATGAATGACTTCTACTTCTTACAAATGTAAACTCGGACATGAATAGGGATAAAATAATTACCAACTCTGTGGAGACATCTTTTACTAAATGGATCGATGACACTTTACTTGACTAGCGAATGACTGGTTAATTCAATTCTTCTGTTGAATAACATCATGTGCTAAGTTGGACGTACAGATATTATATGTGACATATCAATCATTTTATCTAGCCAACTGCATTCATAGTGTGCACTCGCAAATCTTAACTCTCACACAATGAGGATTACGATCGATTAATATACATTCAGTCCTGTTATTTTTGACATAATTGGAGATTAGGTTTAGGAGACGATTTAATAAAATAGGAAGAACTGAAAAGTCGTAAATTTCCCACTGCAATAACTTTTTTCTACAAGTAGCATATAAATGAGAGAATGTCGGGATTAATCATAGGAATTTGTCTTTAAAACTACTAGATTGCAAGTTCTAACCCTGCTCCACCTACTGTAGTTTGGGTAGTCGAGTTGTACTAATATTATTTATGATTAACTCACTTACCAGGTGTACATATTTGTGTACTTGGTTTCGAGTTACACTTAGAGCGTGGAGGATACTGATACCAACTGGATACCGAAACCAGAAGAGAATAGGTGGAGTCGAGTTTGAACCTCCAACCTAGTTGGTGAAAATCAAACCCTTTAATTGCTCAGCGTCACTGCTCTACACAAAACAAAAGCATAGCTTAGAAACTATTATATACACCTAGACCTAATAAATAAGTTACAGGATATTATTTATTTACTATTACAGGATATATTTATATAGAAATATATGTGTATCTATAAATATGTACATTTGATGTTATGTCTAAAAGAATATAGGGTTTTGTTCTTCATATAATTAAAATGTTTTTGTTGTGATAATTAGAAAACAAGGTTTAACCAAGTACTTATATGCAGTAATTTTTCATTAGACTTAATTAAGCAATTACAATGAAAATTATTTATCTGACATATTTAAAATTGTTATTATTAACAAAACAACTAAGGTTCAAGTATATGAGTTGCAAGGAAACAATGACTATAATAATAATAATAATAATAATAATAATAATAATAATAATACCGACATGAGATATCGTGTTTATGTAGTCACTACAGTTTTTGAAAAGTCTGTGTGTGTGGGATGAAATATTAACACTATTCCATAGTCGATCAACCTTTAGATAACAGAATGGATGCATTCTTTATCATTAACCATGCAATTAAGATTAAAATGTGAACTTAAAAATCGGCAATCATAGCGACGACGATGATAATAATACTAGTACCAATGAAAATTGTATTTAAATTAATCCAGTACAGAAAATTATTACTATTATTGTCAATAGGGTCATCTGGGAAAGTGTTGGTGAACAGAGTATTCAGTAATGTAACTTAGTTATTAAGTACAAGTTTATGTATTCGGCAATTAATTATAATATTTTATGTAAGAACTACTGATATTACCCTGCTGTTCAAATCAAATTCGATGAGGAGGGATTCAAGCCTGATATTTACTGGTAGCCAGTTGTAGATTTTAACTACTCAGGCATTGCTCTAATATATACTTGATTTAACTATCCTTTTCACTTCATGAATGAAACACTTATCATATACAACAATGATTATAATTTTGAAGTTCACTTAGAAACGCTCCTTTGTTAACAAATGGGATTTACTTACGATGTTGTTTGTGACATTTTTTCATCAACAAAACAACAAAAACACGTAAAACTTCAGGGGTAATTTTTTCAGAATAAATTATGAGTAGGTTATCAATATACTTGGTATAAACAAAATAAATAGTTATCAGGGTTTAAGTTATTTATTTAAGTTATTTGTCCAATCTATCACATTTTCATGATGATCACCATTCACTCAGTTATGATATAAAATAGGCTTAGAGTAGGTCAGTGGGTAGTTTGTCAAGTAGTTGAAATCTGAGATTATTAAACTGAAGCTTGCTCAAACTAACCAAGTTTTTTTCCCAGTTTAAATTATGACTTTTATATTACAAAAACCAGTCCTTTAATCCAGGTTATATAAGTTTGAGTCTTGTTTTTATTAGTATGAATGTTAAAATTACTACAATTGTAAGTTTCTAAACTCACATTTTAATCTCTTTCGTACGTTTTGTAAATAACTCAAATTATCATGAAAATCCTAATATAACAATCCTCTGAGGTTATTCACATTCATACACATATTTCTTCGAAAATGAATTGGTAACTTAACGGGAATGTTGATGAAGTTTTCACATAGTTACATGAAATAGTAATGAAAATAATGATGCTAATATCAGTTAGTGATTATGTAAATGTCATGATGAAATAGGTATATAGTGATCGGCTTGTAGAATTTGTGGAAACCCATAAGATATTAGTTACGTAATAAGTGTGTACTACGATAGTGACCGATTAGATATTTTTCAAAATTAAAAAGAAATAATTGGATGAGAAACCATAGATTGTTTACAAGTTTAGAATTTCACTTGTAAACAGTTAACTGGATAATACGTAGCTTCTACTGTACCGAAATTCAGTGAATTTAGTTCAAATCTTAGATTAATAATAAAACAACAGTTTATGAATATTTTAAACAATTATTTTAAAAGGCAAACAATTTATTAGTAGTTTAAAAATCTCAGTTTATTCAATACTTTTTAATTAAGTTGATTTCCAAATCTATTTTATTGGTCAATATGAACAATTCTGCTTTATGCTCGCAAAAACTGTTTTTGCCTCTCTGAGGATGATCATACAGACTGTGTATTCGATCATGGAGAATTGTTCACATTTGATGGGAATACTAAGTACTTAATGCGCTGACGTGTGTGTTTTGACATTACAGAGATAACTTAAATGGTGTGCCACAAAGTCAACCGCTATTTTGTGCTGTAAGTAAATAATCTTAGTTGACAGTTCAGTCCTTAGTCAGTCAAATAACTGAACTCATAAGTCTGACCACCTATCCAATATGTATAATTCTCCCACAATTACTATCTTTTATAAATCTATGTCTAAATTGTAAAACCCAATTTTAATCAATGACTTTTCACACATAAAATGTGTACATCGTTTTGTTTTATAAATAATTTATATTATTGTTTCTAGGTTGTAAGCACTCGAAGAGGATTCACGAAATAAGTCAATTCATATTATTCTGTTACGATTATTGTTCCTTCTTCATTCGATATATATAAGTTAATAAAACACAGAAGTAGAAAGACCACCTTCCGTACAAAACACATGAGATTAAATTTATTGTATCCAATGAATAAGTCTATATTTCTAAGAAAAATCTTGATCTCTGACCAAGTTCAAAGAGTTAGTCATACAAAACGTGGAACCCGACATAAATGTCCATCAGTTTAAGTTGTCCCACCACATAGCGCAATGAGACACTAGAGTAGTGTAATTAGTAGCAGTATTACTGGTAGTAGAAAACACTAGTCATAAAATGTATGACTCCAGAAAATATAGATTTGTGAGGTCAGACAATTGGGAAACTTAGGACTATATAAACAATGTGAATTAACAGATTCAGGACCTTCAGCGTTCAAAGAGAGTTCGAAACTTTTACACTATTAACTTGAAATTCATTGGTTTACATTTTCAACTTTAATCAAATTGTGATGCAGTTCAATTCTCATCCAATGTCATTCGTGAATAAATGTTTCACTGTAGACTAAGTTAACTTCAATATTTATGGAATACCAGTAGAATTTCTAAGATAACAATACTGAAGCTAGTTACAAATGAATATGCAATAATTATTAAGTAGAATGAGCTTTTGAAAACGCTTGAATTTATTAGATAATTTTCATAGCAAACTTAATTATTTGTTACCCACAACGTAACTGATATTATCATGTTTCAATTGTTTGGTACAGTAGGGGATTATGTAGTGTACCGCAAACGATGAAATAATATTACGAATTAAAAGAGAGAAACTATACAATAAGAGTATTAAATGATGTAGTCTAATTAAGACCATAATCTAAATGAGGAATGAAGTGAAAAACGAAGACACGATCGTAACTGCTGTTTGATGTAAGAATCGAAAGTCCTGAAATTTAATCCCATGTTGTGTGGTGAGAAAGCACCATTGAGTCCCAAACTAGAAAGAAACAAAATTCCGGTGCTTTACACATTCCACTGATTCCCTAGCCGGTAACAACCAGTGGCGAAAACTACATCTAAATCACTTTTGTTAACGTAATGCGACTTAATTCGCATAGTGTTTAATATATAGACAGGAAAACGGTGTTTTTAACTGATTACTACTTATACCCAATGCAGTAGTATATTGTGAAACTGCAAATACTATTGAGTTTCAGTCTTATATAGAAGTAAGCATGATACCACATTCCTAAAACACGACAAAGAAAATTGCTTACTTTGAACATAGTTTGATAAATTTATCTAAAATCGTGGTGAGATTCGAAGAAGAAGAAAATGCATACGTCGAAGTAAATCGCATTACATGCTCTTTCAAGCTTAAAGAGGCCAAAACTGAGGCACGATCGAGTAGTTTAGGGGTTTCCTGAAAGAATAGATAAAATAAAATAGTAATAAAGAACAAATCCACCCGTTAAATTTCTAAAACGATATGTGGCTGTAGCTGACAGTTATTCGCAATCTGGTGGTTTTTGTGGGGAAAGAAATGAAGATTTATTCAAGACGGAAGCGGCTGAACCAGACACTGGCTCAAAAGTTCATGATTACCATATGAAGCTGAGGCCAAATGAAGATAAAAAGTGTGCCAATTTTATCTCGCCAAAAACGCTAAATACGATCAATTTGCACAAAGCACTCAGTTTTTGGAAAATTGTATAATGACCAGTCATCGAATTTCAATATTTGTTATAGTTATCTAAAGATGCCTAACGAATTTGATAATATTTATCTTGTTTATACGGACAGAGTGAATGTCACATACAGAAAGGTAAACCTTGTTTCAATAATTCAAAGTCAGTCCAATTGCAATATACCTGTATGTAGAATGCAGCCACCTACTCATCCTAATGAGTAAGAAACACATACAAATGTTTCGTTCAAATGCTTTGGAGACAAACTGAGTCTACATGAATCACATAGATTGTTACTGACAAGTCAAAATGTAAAACGTGGTTATTTATATTGTGAATAGAATGACGACATCGTATTTTTTGTATGACGGGTGGAAAAATAAACATGTATAACATTACCCATACAAGTCAAGATCATGCAAAAGAATCCTTCAACCTTTATTTACACCCACATGCCCCAATACTCCCATATAATGAATGTATGAGTAGTGTTGAAACAGTTCAGATCAATAAAGTCACATTATTTGTAACGTGGGTATATAAAGATCCAATTTCACGAGGGAGGTTGAATCATATATGCATTGAACGAAGAAGTTAGAGGGTTAAATAGAATTTTTAAAATGAAGTTGAAAAAACTAACTGGAAGCTGGAACACGACCGAGTGACCGGCTGAGATCACAGCGAGTACAAAATAGAACTACTATCCTTCGAACAGACTTTGTACAGAAAACGTATTCCATAAAAAAAGAAGGGGAGGTGATATTACATTTTTTTACTCATTGTGATTTTTGTCCAACATTAATTACATTTTTTTAAATTCAATATTATGATTATTCAGAGTAATAGTTGTTCAGTTTTCCAGTGTGATATTTTATTCGTTATAAAATTGATTTATTTGAGTGTGATGTTTGTTCAAGATACAAAATCCTTGTATTAAATTAACATGAACTATTCTCAACATGATACGCAGCATGTGATTTTTTATAACTCTGGGTATTTTCTATATGTGATTTCATCCTAATTAATAATAAAATGGGTTTACAATCAATATGTAAACGAGTGTATTTTCGACTAGGGTCGTCGTGTTTTGGATTTAATAAATCTTTAGTCGTACCAGTCTTGGTGTTGTTACTTCGCGTCGTGGGGATTGCAGTGGTTCCTCGTTTTCTCAAGTATGAGTAGTAAACTATTCCAACATAACAACTGACAAGTCATAACAATAACCCTATAAAATGATATCATTGGATGGAATCTGGTTTGTTTAATCATGTATAGCTACAATTAAATACAGAGCATACCTTGAATATACTTGAGGACGACAAAATTACTACGAAAAGACCTAGTTGCTTGCACAAATGAGAATCAGTGTAATTTTCGTCAATCTTATTTGCCTACTTATTAGTAGTTAAAAAATAATGAAGTAATTTAAAAAGATAGTCAAAGGTAAAGAGAAGTATTAAACTTCCTTAGACTTTATATGTTGGTAGTTTTAGGAAACACTGAACTTACATCAGGCTCAATCTGAATTCCACCCTGAATAGATCGAGAACGTTTAATCAGTGGCTCATTTGGATCATCCGAATCTAAAACATGAAAAAAATCGAAGGATCCTAATATTATTCTCAATCATGAAAAATATTTTAATGCAACAGTTTGCGTGATGATAACGGATACTAGAAATACGAGTACAGCTGGAATTTGTTTTCAGGTGAGCGAACCTAAAAGCTGATTGTAACATCAATCTTACATGGATCTAATGGAAACAATAAAAAAGTGAGAAGTACTAAGGTAATTCGCTGTAGAGTGTTTTATTTACAGCTTGACATTTTATAAGTCATAAAATTTTAGTTATATTTTTAAAAAAGAGGCAGTTCAACTGTTTAGGTGGAGTTTGTTAAACGAACCAATTCTTTTTAAAATATGTATGCAGACGAATAATTTTCGTAAATTAAACATCTACAAAACATTTAGGTGTATAATATTAGAAATTAAGTAAGCTAGATCTAAAAATATTAGGAAAAAGATGAACTATTGTACTTAGAATACATCATTTCACTTACGTAAATATGCACTTAGTTACTACTTAGCAAACAAAGAAAGAGATAGTCAGAAATTTTGTGCATACATATAAGAATAGAGATAACTAGTTAGTATACTTTTCATGTCTTAGTGATTATCTTAATTGATGTAAAATTATACCACAAAAAAACATACAATACGACTGATTAAGGAATTCTCTTGAAGCTTCTACAATGAATTGTTGTTCTGTTTCTACATGTACAATCTCTCCATTAGCAGGTTTCGAACAGGGTAATCCAAATTCTTGTTCAATTTTTGATTTTAAAAAATCCATCTTAATTGCTTCTCCGTGTACCAGCATCACATGTTTAGGCTGACAATGAGATATCAACTGCATAATACCACGAGCATCTGCATGAGCTGAGAACGATAAGTATTCAACCGACATTTTAACTTCTAAAACCTGTTTATCAAATTCAAGACGCCTGACTCCATTTAAAATCTGAAAACAATAAGATAAGACAGGTAACGCATTATAACAATAATTTTCTTTGAAGGATGAATAAAATACCATAAACATAATTTTTTTTGAGGTAAGATTATTGATTTTTTTGCGCTAATATCCAACAAAAATATGAAATAACTTCCACCATAAATTACAATTTTAATTTTACGCTTGAAACACTACTTGATCTGGCACTGTTAAACTTTAATGTAAACAGTAACAGTTCAAATAAGTGATTAGTTCATCTTAAATTCTATCATTTATTGTGATATTAAGCTGCCTACTGATGATGAAAAGTCGTTAAGTAAAAAGAGATTTATTTTACTTTTATAATCTTACCCTAAACTTGTTAAGAATAGGAATTATTTTATGGTAATCTTAAACAAAACTCCGCCTGGAGGCCTAAATACCAAGGTTGAAATTGACAACACCGAATATGAAGACATCATGGGACGACAAGGACTGCGAGAAAGGAACGAAAATGGTGAGAGATTTGCAAATCTATGTGCCTTCAATAAACTGGTCATAGGCGGGACTATATTCCCACATAAACGCATACACAAAACCACATGGACTTCACCGGATTACACCACACAGAACCAAATCGACCATATCTGCATCAACAAAAAGTTCAGGAGGACGATGGAGGACGTGAGAACCAAAAGAGGAGCCGATATAGCATCAGATCATCACTTGCTGGTCGCCAAGATGAAATTGAAACTCAAGAGGCACTGGACAACGGGGAGAACAATATCACAAAAGTTTAATACGGCTCTTCTTCGGGATAATGACAAACTCAATAAATTCAAGATAACCCTCAGCAATAAGTTACAGGCCTTTCATGATCTACTCAATGGAGAAGGAACTACTATGGAGAGCAACTGGAAAGAGATAAAAGAGGCAATCACTTCAACATGTCATGAGGTTCTGGGCCAAAATAAGCACCATCACAAGGATTGGATCACGATCTTTACATTAGATAAGATTCAAGAAAGGAGGAACAAGAAGGCAGCAATCAATACCAGTCGAAAAAGAGCAGAAAAAGCCAACGCACAGGCTGAATACACAGAAGTAAACAAGCAAGTGAAGAGGAGCATCAGAACTGACAAACGTAAATATGTGGAAGATTTAGCAATGATGGTGGAAAAGGCTGTCAGAGAAGGAAACATGAGACAACTGGATGACACAACAAAGAAACTCTCTGGAAATCACCGTAAACCAGAACAACCAGTGAAAAGCAAGGAAGGCAAGATAATCACCAACATTGAAGAACAACGGAACAGGTGGGTAGAACACTTAAAAGAACTCTTGAATCGACCAGCCCCACTGAACCCACCCAACATCGAAGCGGCACTCACGGACCTCCCAATCGATGCTGGCCCACCAACATTTGAAGAGATCAGCATGGCTATCAGACAAATCAAGCATGGCAAAGCAGCAGGACTAGACAGCATTCCAGCAGAGGCACTGAAAGCAGACGTAGCGGCAACTGCAAGGATACTCCACATTCTCTTTAATAAGATTTGGGATGAGGAAAAAGTACCAAAAGACTGGAAAGAAGGACTTCTGGTCAAAATACCAAAGAAAGGCGATCTCAGAAACTGTGACAACTACAGGGGAATCATTCTTCTCTCAATACCAGGAAAAGTCTTCAACAGGGTATTGTTAAACAGGATGAAGGACTCCGTAGACGTCAAACTTCGAGACCAACAGGCAGGATTCCGTAAGGATAGATCGTGTACAGACCGAATCGCAGCAATACGGATCATTGTGGAACAATCAATTGAATGGAATTCATCGCTCTACATCAACTCCATTGACTACGAGAAAGCATTTGATAACGTGGACAGACTAACACTATGGAGGCTTCTTCGACACTACGACGTGCCTGAGAAGACAGCCGATATCATACGAAATTCCTACGATGGATTAAACTGCAAAATCGTATATGGAGGACAGTTCACAGACTTGTTCGAGGCAAACACTGGTGTCAGGCAAGGTTGTTTACTTTCACCCTTTCTCTCTCTCCTGGTGATCGACTGGATCATGAAGACGTTAATATCTGAGAGAAACCGTGAGATACAGTGAACAGCTAGAATGCAGCTGAACGATCTAGACATCGCAGATGATCTGGCTCTTCTATCGCAAACGCAACAACAAATGCAGGAGAAGACGACCAGTGTAGCAACAGCCTCAGCAACAGTAGGCCTCAACATACGCGAAGGGAAAAGCAAGATTCTCCGATACAACACTCCATGAAACAATCGAATCACACTTGACGGAGAAGATTTGGAAGATGTACAAACCTCTACATATTTGGGCAGAATCATCGATGAACGCGGTGGATCTGATGCAGATGTGAAGGCATGGATCGGCAAAGCAAAAGCAGCATATTTACACCTGAAGAACATCTGGAACTCAAAACAATTGGCAAACAACACCAAAGTTAGAATTTTCAATACAAATGTCAAGACAGTTCTACTGTATGGGGCCGAAACCTGGAAAACCACGAAAGCCGTCATCCAGAAGATACAGGTGTTTATTAACAGTTGTCTACGCAAAATACTTTGGGTCCGTTGGCCGGACACTATTAGCAACAACCTATTGTGGGAGAGAACAAATCAGATCCCAGTGGAGGAAGAAATCAGGAAAAAGCGCTGAAAGTGGATAGGACACACATTGAGGAAAGCACCGAACTGCGTCACAACGCAAGCCCTCACATGGGATCCTCAAGGCCGAAGGAGGAGAGGAAGACCAAAGAACACATTACGCTGAGAAATGGAATTAGACATGAGAAAAATGAACAAGAATTGGATGGAACTAGAAAAGAAGGCCCAGGACAGAGTGGGTTGGAGAATGCCGGTCGGCGGCCTATGTTCCATTGGGAGTAACAGGCATAAGTAAGTAAGTAATCTTAAACAAAGGTACTATCAAAACACATACACACAAACCTTGTAACCCACAGTCCCAGCAACACAATATCCTGGAATTACAACCATATTTCTTTCATCTGAAGCCCATTTACGAAATATATGCAAGGATTGTCCAGCGTGAAGCATACCTGGTGTGGCAAAGACTACCATTGGTCCTGGATTATCGACTGTTCCTTGCCCAAGAGGCTATTTCAAGATATGAAAATATTACAATGAACCAGGACTTGAAGTTGCTTCAATGATACTCATGTTTGAAAAGAAATTATAATTCGGATGAAAATGTTAATTTAAAAAATTATTAAAAAAAACACTTTAGCAGTCAGTTGAACTAATGTTACTTATAACAATTTCCTAAACTAAGAAACGAGAGAGCTCAATGGCATAAAGAGATAGGGAGGGAAAAGTGAATTATCTACTGAAATGAACAAGGGGAATCAAGCCAACTCAAATTAACTGATTCATGTTTAAAGTCTTATTATACTAACCATGACCTGTTTGTGTCTGGTGGAAATTTATCTTCAAAGGAAATCTGAGTTAAATAATAATTTAGTAATAGAGTCACAATCTGATGTGTCAACAATACCCAACCATTTAGGTCCTGTCAATCAACAATAAAAAATGTTAAGGTTTGATCAAAAATTGATACTCGTTGAACAAGAGGCAGTTATTGTTCAGCGAAAAATACTGATGTTTAAAGTAGGATTGGTAGAGGGTTTAAGTACAAGTACATCCAAAAATGAGTCTTGAATAGAATAAAACATAGATTTGGGATTGCACGGTTGGTCACTACCAAATAATGCGGAAGGCAAGTGGTATCGGAGACATCACCCGTAAGTTAGTGGTTATTCTAATAGTAGTCTCCATATTGTGGGAGTGCCGAACCGATTATCATTACGAAACGAAATTGTCTTACAACACCAACATACACGACGACAGAAGTATATCATACTAGTTATTCTAATTACCAATAGATTGGCACTTGTTGATATATTATGGTTTGTTTGTTCGGTACAATCTTAAAGATCATGTAACCCAGCAGTGTGAGATACCACAAATGGCTTTGGAGCTGAGAGATGTAGTGGCTGTGTCATACCTTTCCTTCCTGTCTTAAAATTTGCGTTTGAAACGGACTAATTGCTGAAAAAGCTGACAAGAAAAGAATTGATTTTATTTAGCTCACTAATAGCATACGATGAGAATCATATGCCAATTAGTGAATAGGAAGTAAAACAATATTCAACCTTTGCAGGAATATACAAAGTAAACGAGTTCATGTCATTGTTGTGTCCATAAAAGTGTATTACAATTGATTTTTAATCCATCTAGAGCTTTAATCATAATGATTATAACTCAATGCCCGAAGGACACCAAAAGCCATTACCTTCATCGGCTGGTACTTGATATGGTTATCAATGACATTTTTCCAGACTCTCTATTTTAGCAAACAGTATATGGTTAAGGTAGAGTGGATGAGTCGGTAAATGTGTCATACGCAACGTAGAGACTGGTACATATGTCCATCGGTTTAGGTTACCACACCAAGATGAAATGATCACGACAAATCTTAAGACAATAGTAAGAGTGGATGAATAAATGTTTTGACCACGTTGGTTTTATTTATTTAAACACATAAATATTGGTACAATGGGGCACATAATACCTATGCGCCACACAAGTCACTTGATTTGTATGTGGGCTGTGATACTGCACGGGTGCCCAGACCCAAGCAGATGGTTTTCTTAGGGGGCCAAACCTCGAGTCCTTGACCTAAAGGTCTGATCCACAAGGCCGTGGAGCATCGTGAGGAGATGCGATCCCATGGTAGCCGGTGACCAAAAATTGGTTCATACGCCATTTATTTCTTCAGGATACTGGAGCCCATGTGCACCATTGGTTTGGAATGGGGATTTTCCAACTCCCCTAGGTGGACTTTTCGTGTCTACCAAACCGGCCGAATCGCCGGACATTTCCTTTTTGTCCTCCCAATTTCGTAAACAACAGCCTTGCCACAAGAAGGCAGTGAGTAGGACTTCCTGACAGTGGTTGTATGCATGTGGCCATCTGAGAGCATTTCGAGAGGAAGAGCTGACTCTCCCCGCTCTCGGCCGTACTAGGACATTTGGGGGTAATAATACATGCACAACTAGCGTATCTTTCTTGCTCATACATTAACTACACAGTGCTCAATAGGTTGGGCAATAATTGTTAAGCGGTGATTTTTAGGAACTTGTAAAATAAAAGCAGCAATAAGTCACGTATGATGACTAACGATCTATTGATGTTTTGTGAAAATAACAGGGAAATTGGTTGGTTGGATTTGTCTGAAAGAGATATCTAGTGGATGTGATGCATTTAAACCTATAAATTCTTTTAAAACATGTTTAAGTGAGGAGCTACGTAAATTGTACCTACCTTTATATGTTTAAAGTCAAACATATTTCGTTTTACAAATGTCTCCTTGATTTTTTGATTTGTCCACGAGATAAATAACTTGTAATACTCATTAGCCTAAATAAATGGTAATTAGGCTGCTTAATTTTCTTGAAAATACTTTTTCAGCCATTCCCATGGAGAAATATATTGGGACGGAAATATTCATTCTTTCCCAATATGTTTCAAGCAATATACAAAGTTCTTGAGCTCGACCTAAGGCAAAGACAGGGATTAAGACCTATAGATGTCACAAATAATGAAACAATTACTTTACCCCCAGCTTCAACACGAGCATGAATCTTTTCTAAAAATTCCCGTTCTCTTGTACGTTTTGAATCTCGTATCGTTGTTGCGTAAGTGCTTTCCGTAATGAGAAGATCTGGACGGCAACGAGAAACCCAAGCTGCACCAAGATGTCTATCGGGTGTCATGTTGTAATCGCCCTAAAAAATCTCAGTGATATCTTTAGAAAGGAACCTACGGTGTACAGGACAGAATTTGTTCCTACACGAACCAGAAACATTGCTGCTCCCAGAACGTGACCAGCGTAAAATGCCTGTATTTCGAGTTCATCATCTACCTTTTACAAAACTCAAAATTAAAAATTAATGCAGTTACTTTGACTGTTTGGTGTATATACACACACTTAACTTTCGTCATACACCGATATATCATATCAGAAGTGAAAAAGTTCTGATCTCCTCTTCTCTCAACATTGATTTTACGATAATCTTCCTGCAAATATAAGGATACAATATAGAAAGTAACTACCAAAAGTATTGGGCAAATTGCCTTGGTAGGATGAGTCATATAGATTGGACCATCGTAGCCTATTACTTCAGTCATATAGGGAAGAGCTCCACAGTGATCGAGATGGAAATGACTGCCGATAAAAACACGAAAATGAAAATGTACTAAACATACCTAATAATTACACAATCCAGGTAATCATTGAGACCCCCTTTGTCGGTAATGTAAGTGAAGTCAGGAAACTTTCTCTTAAAGGATTTAATGACATGATTACGGTAAAAACTTACATCATCGTTATAGCCCATGTGCATTCCGCAATCGAACATGATATTTTTGCCACCCAGAGTGACAAGAATGCAACTTCTACCAACATCTTGCCCAGCGCCTATTAAGCGAAATAAGTAATGTAAATTATCTCAAAACAAATTTACCCAAAGGAATGACCCGAATAGAACTCATGACTTTATTGGAATTTTTTGTTGGTCATTGACGTCTGGCCAAGAACTAGTTGGGATAAATGTTCTCAGATGCTTAAAAGTAGCAGTACTAGGAAGAAATACAACTTGGTGAAACGACTGACAAAATAAAGTTCTCAAAGTGGAAAAACACTGAATAAATAGAAACACTTGTTTTAACGCTATATACATGTTATATGGGATGAGCAATAATGAATGTGAATATGGTGTTTAGGTGTGTTTAGGTTCATTTGGTTTAGTCCGAATTCATGAAATATTTTAACTGATTTCTCGCTCGTTTTACAAACCCGAAACGGATGATTGTTGTGTGGTTTTTATTTCACTATTGAGTTTCTGAATTAAAACACTTCTTAAAGCGATAGGAGTAAGCTAAGTACAGTGATTTTCAGTTGGAGATAGGTATAATTGAGAAGCTATTAAACTATCATATTTGTCCACAAAAAGTTAATACGGTAAGTTTTTCTCACACATAAACATTAACTTAACCTCAATCACATCCTATGATTGCGTAATTAATTATCAAGAAGACGCGTTCTCCCGTCTGAACAACATAAGAACATGAATATTCCACGAATAACTGTAGTGTGATGAGCAAGCTAAAATATGGTTACGAATAAAAACCTCTCCATTAGCATTCTTCAGAAGAGATCTAGGCCAGGAATAATATGGTACAAAAAGAAGACAGATTACTAAATCGTATGTCAGTCAGCCATGTGAAACTGTTTTTTAAAAAGCATCATTCGGAGTTTTGTCACACTAGTACACAAACTTTAACAGCGGTATTGTGAGATCGTCCACGATAATAAGCAGGTACTTAAATTGAGGTGTCAGGAAAATATATTTGATATATTATTTTACTTCATCACAGCCTTTAAAAAATGGACTCGAGTCAATTAAAATTAGATTTTGTCCGGGTGTCGACTATGGGCACTCACGACGAAGCAATCAGACCAAAAATAAAACAGCATATTTACTTCACAGCAGGAGGAGCTAGCTGTGGAAACCTAATTTCATTGAGCTGAGTAGCTTATTAGGTCGTAAAAAACATAGAACTGTTGTATTCAAGTACCGTAAGAGAGCTTTTTCAAAGTCGCTCTACTGAGCTACAACCTTCAAAGGTTGTTCATAACTCAGGGAAGCCGTTATAGAATATTTTGGGGAAATGGCACAAAAACCCCGAAATTTCCGTAGATGTGGGGAAATTCCCTAAATTTTGGTCTGTTTTTTCTATACTTCGCTCTATTTTTCAAAGTCACAGTAGGATAATGCATATTTTATATTTTACATGTTTGTTTAGCTGAATTATTAGTTAGCAGATAATCCTGTGCACGTAGATGCCACCGACTTAACAAAAGCGTATACAATATAACTAATTACTTTGTAACGACTGAATAATTTCTTTACGCTTGGTCAGTACAGTTGCAGATCTTTAGTAGTGTCTAGTGGTCGATAGTTCAGCCAGTCGTCTGCAATGAATCTAGTCTGTCTTGCAGTTATTTGTGGGTTTGTGTTAACTTATTACTTGAGTGAGTGGGTTTGTATCAGAGCAGTAGGATCGCTAGATAGCGGGTTGATTGGTTATACTTGGAAAATAATACGCAGAAAATTCGAATGCTGAAAGATGATCGTTTGAAGAACTAAATAAGTAAGGTAATTAGATAGTAATACAGAGTGTCAGAAGGCAGAAATGTAAAGATAAAAGGGGAAACGGACGTGATAATAATCGAAATAAAAAGTATTTACTATTATGTGATAAGGATGGCGGTAGGTGAGTTTAAGATATGCATCAAGCATAGCTAACCAAGTACACTATGACAATCCATGAGTGAATACATGTTTACCGATTCTCCTCCTGAACCCATCAACTGATGGGACCATGGTCATTTCGGCTGAGACAACATTCTTAATGAGAAAAAGTCTGGTCTGTCTGGGATTTTATTTTTTAATGTGGACGTTTAAGGCGATTGCGTCTAAGAGCGTCGAGCTGATGTCCCGGTAGAGTATTCTTGATGGAGATTTTAATATGTTTTATGCCATTGTCAAACTTCCAGTTATCTATCTATATCACGAAGAGAACGATCCAGTGTCGGAGTCTATGGTCGTGAATTTATTCCTTAGCCCTCTCACCCACATATTTCCTAGTCTCTTTATTTAGTCTAAGAGCAAAGATGTTATAGACTTCAAGGTTCAGCCGTAAGCATGTTTTAAATAGCGCTGTGAATAATTGTATTGTGACTGCGTTAAGTTTTCAATACCTATGATGAAGATTTGCATTTGCATTAGCTGCATCACCAATATATTTTGAGATGGTATCCAAGCTTTTTGTGGTTGCTAACACTAAATTGAGCTCTGAGAAGACATGTGGGAACCGATTTTCAAGGAGGATGCAAGTTTTGTCCTATGGTGATGAGTGTTCATGACCTACCATTGCAATAGGTCGTGATTCAATCAGTCGTCTATTGCCAATTCCTTTATTGTTGTGAAGTCTCAATGAAGCTCAAGTGAATATCTTTCGACTTTCATGGACCTTTTAAAATTGTGTTTCATTTCTGATTGCAACAATTAAAAAACCTAGCAAGCCACTCAAAAAGTAGCTACAGTAATGGGTTGTAGCGTGGTGTCGAGTTGAGCTTGACTATGAACACCGCTACAAGACTACGTGCCAATTAACCAATAAGATTCCGGAAGGCCAAAAATCAGAAGGCAGATGATAGTAGTAGTCGTAATATATTTGTTGGCAATCTCGTGGTATCGGAAGAATACCGAGATCGTGCCAAAGGAGTACGGGTGCGATCGGCAAGATAAGATACGTGCGTAGTCCAAAAACCGCGTAAAAGCAACGGAATACAATGGAAGACTAAAATGGCTGTTATTAGCACAGTTAAACAAACGAGTACAATAAAACAATCACTGGTACAATTGGTTATAATAATAATTGTTTTCATCGAACCAATCGCGTTCTGTTGACAAAAGTAGGTCACTACAGGGTCTTGATGAGTCACCTACCTGTTAACAACCTAGTGTGACACATTACAAAACATAATTACTCTAATCTTAGTTATCTAGTTCTTTCGGGATTTTCTCTCGAATTGCCAGTTTCAAATACAGGAACTGGACAGCAAACATTTAAATAGAAATGGTTTTGGCATTTAGAATTTTATAGGAGTGTATCGGCAAATATACGACGAGTACGTCTGGCGTGGAGTTCCAAATTTCGGGAAATTCGAACCGGAGAATGGTTTACTGATGGGCTTCAGTTGACATATGACAAAATAAAGCAATAAGCGATGGTTGTCGTATAGCAGCATAGAAGGACTGTACATACATGGTACATATGTGGTACTAAATACACAAAAATAGGCAGAAGATAAACAGAATTTTTCTGGACAATGATTCCTCCAGCAGGTGCAATTGATAATTACACAGAAACACCCATTTCTGAAAGAATATAAGTCAGGTACTGAGTTCAGTGTCCATAATGTAGTCACTCACTTGCACTTACCACAACTGTAAATACATACTAGCTCACTTCTGATGATTTACATAAATAAATACCAGGATAACACATAAAACACATTGTTACCATATATATATATTACCATATTTTGATCTATGCGTCGGCTCTTCATAACATGAACTTGCAGTGGCTTATGTTACCAACAACATAATCATTGAAGCCAGACGTACAATAATGGAGAAGATTTACGTTAACCGGGAAAACTTTATAGGGACGACAGGACTCAGTCTTACAAGCTTCAATATTTGACGTAACTTCTTCCCCTTTATATTAAATATATTATTCTGTTTGTATAAATAAATAGATTTGTAATATCCCAATGAGTAGAAAAATTAGATATTCTGTTTGTAGCCCGAATTTATTTTTAATGGTTCATAAACCATATACTAATGACTTCTGAGCTAGAATTGGTCAGTTTTGAAGACAGTGTAAGTTCTAAGTATAAGTTAAGACAAAAAAGATTTCCTGCATTTGGTTTGAGCAGTGAGCTAACAAACCAAAGTTCGCTCAGTTAGATCAGATTGCGTTCTTCTGTACGGTACACAAAAACCTTTTGAGTCACTCCTTTCAAATTCGATCAAAACATAAACTATGTTCCTGATATATAATGGGTTCTTGAAGGGCGCAACATGTGTTTTATAGTAAATTTTTTTCTAACACAAAATAGCATTACTTATCTACACACACTTTTTACCCGTCGTGGAGGAGCATAGGCCGCCCATCAGGGTTCTTTGTCGGACTCTGTCCTGGGCAGTCCTTTCCAGTCGTTTCCGGTTGTTATTCATTCTTTTGATGTGTAGTAAAAATGGAGTCGCGATTGACTATGATCACCACTACAGTCAGACTACGTGCCAACTACAGGTTAGACCTCTCCGTAGGTCACATATCAGAAGGCAGTTGAAGGTTGTAGTTAAGATGTATTTGTTGGCGATCTCGTGGTATCGAAATAATACCGAGATCGTGCCAAAATCTGTAAGCGAGAATACCGAGCGTACGAGAGTTCGTGCAAGGTCAAAAAAACGGTACACTAACACAAACAGGTACAGTAAAACAATCACTGGTACAATTGATTATAATAATAATTGTTTCCATTGTACCATTTGCGTTCTCTTCGTAAAAGTAGGTCACTACAAGAGCCTCCTGCTAGAAAGGGCCTACACTTTCGATATGTAGCTATTTAGTTCATGGGACTGATTGGCGGACGTGCGATTGTAGAACGATAAAGTTGGCAGAGCAGGGAGCTATCGTTGATCCTCGAGTTGACACCGAAGGTCTTTTATGTAGGACGGTACCAGGAGTAACATGCTATACTTGTTGTTCGAATTAGAGTATCACACCACAGTTGCTTGTATTCAGAATATGAGAATTGCGTTCGAAGGGGTCCGAACCAGAAAGCGCCGCAGACGTTGGACGTAACCGCATCGAGCTAAGAAGCCAGAAGCGAACATAATGAGCAAATCGAGACCATACGTATGCCAGACATATTCGGAGCCAGAACATCGATTGAGTGCGTTGACAAGAGCGTGGGCGATCAGGCCAGCTTTCGCAAAAATTGACTAAAGTCGACGGTACCCACAGGCGATGGTCGGTGGCGTGGGTCCAGAATGACAAAATTGAAGAAAGGTGTATCATACACGTAGTATAGGGATAGAGTCCTATACTGTGTCCGTTTTTGATCGAGAGGTTAGTCGCGAAAGCGTACGGGTAGGCGTACCCGGCGACCAGAACGTGAGACGGTAGTCTCGTTTATACCTGGTGAGACGGTAATCTCATCCTAAGTCCAGGGCAGCGTGGTCTGCTGATCTGGACGTGAAACTGAAGTCTCGTCCGTAGATAGCGCAGATAACACATGCTGTTGACTGGGACGTGAGAAAGAGTTCTCTGATGTATCTAGCGTGGGGTCCGAAGTAGATGTGGGGGTCTCACTAGTAGGTTTGATGGGACTAGCATTGGGTCTCAACTTATCAGGTAGGGCACTGCCATCAACGTGTGCTGGTTTGAGACGATCAATGCTGACGATATCGACTCGGCCATGTCGATCAACCTTGAAGGTCTTTTCTTGATCATGCGAAAAGGTCCTTCGTAAGGCTGTTGTAGAGGCTTGCGTACCGAATCTACTCTTATGAAAACACGTGAACAGATAGATAACTCTCGAGGGAGAGCGACCTGTCGATGTTGTATTCGAGTTGACACCAGAGACAGTGTTCGCATAAATGCAGACAGTCTATGGACGTAGTCTGATTTACCGAAATCGTTACTGCTCCGTGGTGTAAAGAATTCCACGGGCAGACACAATGTCGTGCCGTATACTAGTTCAGCGGTGGAACATTGGATATCTGCCTTCAAACTCGTTCTGATACTTAAGAGGACCAGTGGTAAGGTTTCGTACCAATTGTCGTTTTCGTGTGCTCGGAGGGAACTTTTAAGTCGGTGATGAAACCGTTCAACCGAACCATTTGATGCTGGGTGGTAGGCGTTAGTGCGTATGCGTCCCGTTCCAAGCAGCCGGGTCAGTGAGAAGAATAATGCGGACTCAAATTGTTGTCCTCGGTCAGTCGTGACAGTCGAGGGACAACCGTACGA